CCCCTAAACCCTACACACTGGCCCTTTAATCTTCTCCGTGGTGGGATGCTGTGAGCTGATCTGTGTGTAGGTCGGTCGGGTGGGACGACTGTAGGTGGCGGGGGGCATCACAAACAATTATACAGCGCTACTGTTTGTAAACAGCAGGGTTGTATCTTAATGCTCAGTCCCATGCTAGCTTACAGAGCCCTGGAATCATCTGTGGGGGGGCTTGCAATGTAAACTAACCTGCTGTGACAGTGAAGAGTGATTCAGCCACAAATGCTGTGTTAAAGACCCAGGGGAGAAAATGTGTTTGTGCGCAGAACAATACTGAACATCTTATTACATGACCATGGGGTGTTTTTCTCACTTTATTTTTAGCAACAAACACACAATTGAAAGCAATAGTGCACATTTTGTTATGCAACCAAGATCGCTGCAAGCTTATGATACACCAACAGACAAACTGTAGGCTGATAAAGTAATTGGTTTTCACACTGTTTCACCGCATTGATTTAAAATTTGACCGTGAAATAAATAGTTGTTCCCTCCCCTTTGCGGGAAGTTGCGTGGCATAACAAAATGTGTTTCTTTAAATGCTTGCAAATTCAATTCTATCACAATCTATTTGCATGTAGATTTGCATGAGTGACTTAATCCTGCTCGGCTCTTAATCAGCCTTTTGAGTTTTTCTGTGGACAAAACAATAAACGCTTACATAAGCTCATGAAGTTAGCTTTTACCCGAGCTGCTCTCCTGGAGTACTTACTGTGTTCAAGGGCTCATTTACAGCAACAGCAGAGGGAATGGATAACTTTTTTAATTAAATATAAATGTGTCAGATCATTTATTCTTTAGATTATTGTTTCTAATGAAGCAGTTTAACACACATTTCACACATTGTACCGACTCAATTATCATTTAATTAATACTGTAATGTGACTACATTAGTTTTAGTGAAGCTTACACTAAGTAATGAACTGAGTGTAAATGATATGTAGGTTACAGCATAAAGACTGCTGCTCTAATT